GGTCTCATTGATCTCCATTAACTTCCTCATATGCACTCTGTCCTTGATCCTATATCTCATATGTAGGCACAAATAAAAAAGAGACTTCTTCTGGAGACCTATAATACAATTCAAGGTGTGCTCCTGACACAGTCAGAGCAATACAAGTGACTCCCATCTTTCACAAGGTGTGCAATACACCTGACCATTCACAGAGGTCCTGGGACTCTGAACATAGGGTCCTGGGCGAGGGCATATGGCCTCTTTCTTTCCTCTCAAAATTCAAACACTTTTATCATCTTTAGGGCCTTCCCCTCAATGAGCTGACAGGACTTTAAAAAGTCAAGTATCACAACTGCATTGTGGATAGGAAGGTATCATTCCCAGTGTTACAGATGAGGGGACAATGAGGTAAAAGAGCAAGCAGAGGATTTAGTCAAGAGCACTCAAGTCACTGATCAGGTTGGATTCCTAGTCCTCTGAAATTCAAGAGCAGATCACTCTGGCTTACCTCCCCCTTTGTTTCTTGATATGAGTATCCCCAACAGAGGATTCTGTGGCTTACAGTGCTAATTGGTTATTCAGCCCCACATTGCTTTGAGGCCAGGATCATTTCGTTATAGCCATTGCCCCATCTACAGTTTGTGCCAGTGCTGTCAGGATTGGTTACTCATCCCTCCCCAACAAGTCTAAAGGTCTCCCTGCTCGCATGAAAGATGAAATGAAAGGTGCCTCAAGTGTGAGAGCTGGGGATGTTCTATGTGAGATGAACAGAGTGAGGTGATGCAGTTCTCCTGGGTATTGACACACCGAACATTGACCAGGCACAGATTCAATACAACAGGAAGCAGCAAGGTTTTTGGCTTTGCTGAACAGTTTCCAGGAGAACATGAACTGTCTCAGTGTAGTACTGAGCAGACCTTTACAAGACCAGGGAAGGGAATGACTGCCAATCACTCATGTGCAAACAGGAACAGAGAAAATGAAATCTGTTGCAAAAGAGCACGTGAAACAGTGGCATTAGTCAACTGCTCATTTGTCATTTCAGGATTGCCTTAGCTCTTGGATTCTTCAGGACAGCTGTCCATAATATTAAAACCCATTTCTGTCACATGTGATGCTCCCTTGGTGCAGTTCAAAACAGCTTGGTTGTTAATGTCAGAGATGCCATTTTGGCTAAGACATTGGGGTGTGAAGCAGGGACCTCCAGGAGCTGAAAGCGTTAAGTCTTGTACAGCTTGACCTAATGCTGGGATTGCAATCAGACCATATCCTCTGTGGAATGGGCACAAAAAGTGGCTTACGTTAGTTCTGCTAGTTTGGCTAAATTCTAGCCTGAGTAATCACTTTCTTTCTACCACAATCCTTCCTGTGGTTTTAATTAGATGTAGAATTCCTCTTGCCTCCAGGTCCTAAACTATTGCATAGCATTGCTATGCACAAAAAAAACATCTGCCACTTCCAATCTTAGACATGGCTGCATTTCAGCTGGTGATTCCTGTATAAAATGTGCCTCCTCAGAGGAAAGATAGATAATTCTCTTAGTCTTCTATAATACCATTTATCTTGAAGTAGCCTAAAGCACTTTATAATATCTGTGGTGAAGCCCATAAGGGCTATCCTGAAAATACATATCGTTCTTCCACTGAACTACAGCCACCTCTGGGAAAGAACATGGCAGCCATGTATCACTGCACCACAATTTTAAACAATTTTTTAGCATGGAAAGTACAGAAGAAACTTTCAAAGATATTCATTGACCTGCTGAAGGCTACACCATAGACAGGTCAATAGCAGAGGCAGGAAAATAAGATTCCCCATAGGTTCTCCCTGGCAATCAAAACCCTACTGACTGGCAATATGGGATAGGCCCCTGAAAAATAAATACAACAGCTATGAAATCAATTTAAAATGGTGCTTTCTCTCTGTGGGAATACTATAAATGTCCCCTCTCTCATAATTCATATGTACTACTCTGCCTGGGATTGTAGGAAGTGCTGATAAAGGGAGCAAACTAACTGCTCCAGGGAAGATGCAGGGCCCTATACATTCAGAGGTGGACAAATTTAAGCTATGGAAGATACACATGGGCAGAAATCCCTCTCACTCTGGGTTCATCAGATAAAAGTTGGAGCACACTTGGGTTCAAAAGGATAATTCTATGTTCCTGACCATCATCATAATTCTTTTCCTATTGAAGGTAATGGGAAAGCTCTCGTGATTTCAGCTAGGCCAGTGCCAACTACTGTAGAGAATCCCACACAGAGGGTCAACGTGACTCTTTGCTAAGGCCATTTCCTGTGTCTGAACAGTTCCTTCTGCAGTGGAATTGTTCTTTATGGCTGTATCATTCAGACCCTCCTTCCCATGCTCCCCAAAAATCAAAACACAGCACAAAATGAGATTCTCTCAAAACCAGGTTGTTTATTCCAAATATATGTATATATATATGCCCAGATAGCATGGCATAGAGACTGGCCATTTTTGGGGACTTCAGCTTCTTGGGATGGGGCTGAAAGTACACCTCCAGCCACTATATAAACAGACAGTTAAATAAGCATCAAACGCGCATTGCGAAAGCTTTGGCACCCACAAGAATAGCAGGTGGGGTTCAACCACTACACAAGGAAGACCCCACGAGTAGGCAGCATGCAGTCTTAAATCTTGGCTGCTGCGTATTCCTGCCACAGGGGTTGCTGGAACTCAGTCCAAAGGAAAGAGAAGCAGCCCTGTGTTGAGTCGGTCCCTAATTGTTTCTGTTGAATCTTCAGCACCTTTCCCTGAGTCCCTGAGCAGCGTTCATGCATCTGGATGTGGTAAGTATTACCTCACAAGACCAAGGCCCTGCAAAGCATCAGAAGGCACAAACTTCTTCACAGTTTCTAGTTCCCATCTTTTTGAGTTTCTCTTCATGTAGAGGGGACTCCTGCTGCTAGTGTCCCTGAGGGTGAACCAGTCTCTGAGTTCAGGTAGCAGCAATGCTGAACTAGGATGGCACAACAGCACAACAAAAGCCAAGATTCACATTGTGGGAACTAGAGGTGAAATGTTCTAGCACAAAAGGAGGAAGGAGGAGGTATAGCTACATCTAAAGCAGCCATTGTTTCTGTGCAATCTGGGTAACGGAGCAGTGACAGGAGCAGGAAGATGATAACTCTAACATGGGTCCCAGCTCTGCCAGAATAGTGACTCAGGTCCTGAGGGAGGGGAAACTATTTATGTCACTTAAGTGACTTCTGTCTGCTGAGCCCTAGTCAGCCTTCCTCAGACAGGCTAAGAGGTCATACTAATGGATACGTCTCCAAAAGAGGAGGGGACAAAGGAAGAAGGAAAGCTACAATATCACAGATAGACAGTTGCAAACTAATATATTTTTAAACAGAATTAACAAAAACCATCAACCTTGGAGAAATGTTTTTGGTGCCATGGGAAAAATGCCTGGAAATTATCACAAAGAACATTTCTAGAATGGCAAAAGACCACATGAAAAAGCCCTGTGAAAAAACACTCTGCATCGGAGAGGCAGCACGCCTGTTTTGGACACCCTGGCCTATCCCATATTGCTGGCCAGGCCAAGCAGGAAAAACTTGAAGCTCTACGAGGCCACTTCCAAACAGAATCACCAGGTTGGAGGAAGCATGTAAAGGGCAAGATGGACAAAGGACAGCAGATGGAAGAAAAGTCTGCTGCTGCTATGCAACAAGACCAAAACTATGAGCATAAGGTTTGTATCAAGGCACCTTCTTCTTCAATAAGAGGACACAACTCCTGCTAACCACTGAGGCAATGACTTTTACTCTGCAACTTGAGGGCTGGGTCAAAGGAACACACACACCCTAAAAACACAATGCCTAGTCAATGTGCTATGAGGAAAGGATTGGTTTTAAATGGAGCTGCTGCTTTGGGGTTTCACAGATGCTCAGGGATTTGAAGATGGCACTCACCTGGGAGTTTTAAAACAGCCAAGAGATGAGCCTAACAAGAAGAAAGGCCCAAACATTCAAGTATTAGTGGCTGCGTGGTGGGGGATATGATATGTACCAGCTGGTGTTCACATAATAAGATCCTATCAATGCGGATCAGCTAGTGGATGACAAAAATGCACTCAGCCAACATATCACACATGGATCACAGTCCCCAATAAGGCTGTATGTAATTTCTGTAAAGAGCATGTTGTTAAGTTTCCTGGCTAGTGATTGATGACCTGCAATGGAGGAATATTCCCTAGCACAAGTGGCAAGTTAATGAAAACAACAATTTAGCTCAAGTGGCAGAAGCCTATGTTATGGGCATGGAAGATCTTTAGTTCTAGGGCTATGCCACAAGGTGGTCATTAAACCAGCTCTCTCAACTGCTGGAAATCTGCCCTGGAGAATAAACTCTTCTTTTAAACTGTCAGAAACCAACAATTTATCCAGGTTCCCTGTACCCCAAAAATACCTTCAACAATTTGTTTCTGGACCAAAACAATGTGTTTCTGTTCTCCAAGTAATTCACTGAGAGATCAGTTTATAACAGAAGAATCCCTACCAGTACCCTGTCCTCACCTCCTTCCCTTGACTCCCATGCCAGGTCATACTTGATCTTCACAAAGTTTCATTTCATGGGCTTCCAAAAGGAGCTATATGGACCATTAGTGGTCTGAAGACAACAGTTGAGGATCTCTGACTCTGGACCAAACTAAAGCTAAACACTTTAAGGTATTTAAAATACAATATTCTTATTATCAATAAGTTGCTCTTCAGGAAAAAAAACCCACAAGTAAAGAGAAACCCAATACAAACCAAACTCAACAACTTTTACACTGATGGAGATGCAGTATCACTGGGGGGATAGCTAAAGAGCCATTTACAAGAGCAAGTTACCCCCAACCAGGAGTGACAAGATGTTGGCAATGAAGGACGTCACAATGAAAGCAAACCAAGATGATGGTCTGTCAGGCAGATGAGCAGTGGTGCAGGAGGCAGCGAGGATATAGGGGGTGCTTCCTGAGTGGGAAATGCCTCTAAAGTAGGTTGTACCTTCACATCCACGCTCTATTTGCCCACTGCGATGGAGGGCATCATTGATCAGATCTGGCAAACGCCCATTCAAGTCCACTGACGCTAGGCAGCCCTGAAACCCATCACGTGAGGCCACTAGCTTCGGGAGGTTGCTGTACATGCCTTGAGCCAGGCCTGCAATGTAGAGATCACCTGGAAATAATATGCAAAGAAAAGAAAGTCACTCAAATGCCTTTCAGAGTTGCACTTCTAACACATCTGATGAACTGCACTGCTTCTGAAGAAAGAGTAAGCCAAGAGTGACATAATACAAGCCCAGAGGCTGCTTCTGTCAACTAATCTCATTAAGTATGCTCTCTACTTTTCCCAAGCTCTCACCCAATTTTGCCACTGAACCCAACACCTGAGCCCTGAGCCACAGCACTTTTGACTATTCCTGACTTGGGCACCCACCTACCTCTGTAAATGCATTTCAACCTCAACCATTTATGAAAGACTTGTTCCTCTTACTCAATTATGCCAATTTTCCTGGATCCTGATCAGGCTCCTTGATCCCACACTATCACTCATCTTCTCAGAAATGTACTCCCCACTTTGTTTCATTATTGTGCATCCACAGTGGCATGCATTACCCCATGAGCTCCCCTATACTCTAAATGACAGGGCTTTATGAACCAACTCTTTAATCACTGTCCTGCTTTATTTCATCTTCTTTCACTCCACAATGCATACCAGTAGCTCTGCCAATGTTATGCCTGACTCTTCCTGATGGTCAGATACTTCGTATTCTTTCTTAACAAAAAGATGGTAAACTGGAGATTGACTGTATGGTATGAATAGTTCTGATAAATATATCTGAAAAGCAATACAGACTAATGATATTGCTTTGGAAACTTGCCCAACAGAAAAAGCGGAAAATTAAATTCAAAGCAAAAAAAAAAGTCATTATCCTCAGCTTTCTACTTTTCTTTGTGCGGTGCGTGGACATTCTTCATGATTATTGCTCTCCTAACCTACAGGACTAAATACATACTGGCATCTTGGTGGCACTTACCTTTAAGATCAAGATTTTTGGCACCATTGATAACCTGAGTGACCATCTTGGTGTCCACCTTTAGGCTGTGGGTATTACTGTTGTCTCGGGTGATGACGACATTGTGCCACTGGTTGTCATTCAGGGGACGATCACTGTTGCCTTTGATGACATTAGGGCCATTGCCAAGGTCAAAAACATAATGTATATACCTGAAAACAACACAAGTTTCATTTCAGAATGGACTCGAGAGCTGTTGTAGGTCTTATTTCAGACATAGCTGAGGGACTCATGGCAAAATAAAATTCCATCCAAGCATTATGAGATAAGGTAGACATGCTGCTGGGATCTGATGAGGGAGATGGCAAAGATTCCATTCCCCTGCTTTGAACACATAGCTCATTCCCCACTTGTTTGCGGACAAAGCCAAGAAACCATTTTCTAAGGAGCAAATATATTTAAAGTAATTAAATTCCAATTGATTCTCTTAACCGAGTCTGTTTCCAATGAGGCTGAGGAATATCTGACCCTCAGGATAAATTTTATATTTTATGGCTCTCTCTAAGGTACTGAAATTATGACAACTCCAACTGGAAAATGCCACATTGGTACAATGCTATTATTGGTGCATGTGCTGCTTTACTGATTCTGTTTTGAAAGCATGTTCAATGCCCGCTCACTCCTGCGTGAGTAAGGTAGCAACCTCTGTGCAGCACTGAGTTTGCACTAATAGCTGCTGACTTCTGTGCATCACCTCACTCTTAGTTCAGCCGTCTAGCTCTGAAGGGTTCCAGCTTGCAGTTAAGAAATTCAGGCAGATCTACAAAATACTATTTTTCTAATACTATTTTTGTAAAGATAAAAATAACTGATTCCATGGGATGAACACAACTAGAGCAGGGGGCTAAATATATGCATTTGGGTACACACATTCCAAATCTGTATTCCAAAGAATCCTCCAAAATAGCTTGATGGATATTTCCTCCTTAACATATCTGTGATTCCCAGTCAAGCCTGCTCATGGTCACAAAAAGAGCTTGAAATTATAATAAGCCTTTTGGCAAAGTTGGATTAAATACTACATTTCTATGTAATAAAGGCCCAAACAAAGCAAACCATGTATGGATCTGATTGTCACCAAGAAACATTCAGACAAGATTAATATGAGCTTAGTCTGAAAATGATTTTTTTTTTTAAAGGGAAGTGGTAAACACTTTGAGTCCCTACCAGAACAGCAGGGGCTCGTGGCTGTCTCTTCATTCATTCAGAATATTCCGATTACACAGACACACATGGAGTTTAAAATGAAACAGATTAAAGTGCAGTTCTACAGAGAAATATAACTATTAAAATGCATTTGATGAACTCAATGCATGTATCGTTTCTAGATGACTCCAGATCAAATCTGTTCATTTTACAAGATTTCTTTCTTCTACCTTGACAGCCTTAACACATTCCCTGGAAGCTGGGAGACAAACTGGATCCTTCCTTCCAATGCATAAGCACCAGAAATACAGGCCATGTTAATATAATGAGATGATTAGATCTGAAGAATTTTATGCCCCAACCCAAAAATTGTGTATCCTGCCACGCCAGACTCGCATGGTGGGATGTGTGATTTCTGTAACGGTGTCTAAAATTCCCCACATCACAAATTGTGCAACTACCAGAGCTAAACCAGGCTGCCCCAGCCCAATCCCAAGAACCAGGCCGGGAGTGGTTGTTTACCAGACCCTGGGGCTGTCCAACATGCCAACATTCAGCTGATCATCAGCATTTCCCAGGCCCAGTTCAAGACCCAGGGATGTCCTAGTCCCAGTGCTGACATTCAGATGAATTTCTACATTGGGCCAGGTCTGGCACACAAGCCACATGCTCAATTTAAGGTACCATACAAACCAATGACAAAGATGTTCCACACAATGTGGAACCTTTTTTTTTTTTTTGGCTGGTTTGCCACTTTATTTCACCATAAATTGGTTTAACAAATGACACATTACAATTTATGAAAGAATGAACACCTTCATCGTGCCATAATTGTAACACTTTCTCAGGGGCCACAAATTTGGCCAGTCACATTATAACTCGTTGGCACCTGCTCAACTCCATTGTCTTCAATGGATGTGCACAGGCATAATTTATTAGAATTTAAAGAATAATCTGATGCTGATGCACATGGAAGAACAGACTCCAGATCTGGAAGTTTTAACATTGTGTTATGACTATTTCACACTATGATTGATTTAAAATCATAGAAATATAGGACTAGAAACGCCCTCCAGAGATCTTTTCATTCAACATCTCACACTCAGGCAGGATCAAGTACAACTAAATGATCCCCAACAGATCTTTGTTTAATTTTTTATTAGAAACGTCCCAAGAAAGAGGTTTGACAACCTCTCTATGTAACCTCCTCTAGTTATGGTTTGAGCCATGTAAAATTAGAAGTTCTCTCTCTAATATACAATTTAAGTCACCCACATTGTAATTGAATACAAATTCTTCTTCTCTCAATGGGCAAGAATTATCACTGTCCCCTTATAACAATCTTTTCACCCGTGAGTCTTCAGTAGACTAAAGCTCAATTCTTTCCATCTCTCCACACAGGTTGTTTTCTAAGCTTCTCATAATTGTTGCTGCTCACTTCTGGACTCTCTGAATTTGCCTATATATCTTTCTTAAAAAGTAGTAACCAAAAACTTGGACATAGTGTCTAAACTGAGGCCTCATCACTGTCACCTATGTAGAGAAGAACAATCATCTCATGTTTTACATATGACACTCCTGTTAACGTAACTCAATGACATCCAGTCTTTTTCTCGCAAGTGTCACTTTGTTATTTCCTTTTTAGTTTGCAATCCAGCATATGCCTCATATTCTTTCCTGCTGTACTGTTGCCTTGCCAGAAATTCTCCATGTGCACTTATACATTTTAGTTCATTTTGTGAAATGGTACTTTTCTTTATTGAATGTAATCTTTTTGAGCACTTTTACAGTGCTTTAATTAGAGCACATCTGAAACCTTTAAGTGGAGCTCGTCCATTCAACAAGCTTTAGTTCAAGTGCCCCCACCACCATTTTTAAGCATGAAGACGCTGATACATGACATGAAGGAGGCTGCTGGGGTGCAGCAATTGCCATGCTCCAGCAGACTCGATTAAATTGAGCCTGCCCCAAAGCACCAGAATTTCTGCACATCGGAGAGCCTCTGCACTCATGTAGGATTTCAGATCATCTCTCTAATTTGTCAAACCAATTTGAACTGATACTGTCCTGTTTGCAAATCTGATACTCTACTCTCTTCCTCACCCAGGTTGTTAATGAAAATATTAAATGGAATGGGGTCTGGGACCAATCCCTCTAGCATCCCATTTAAGATGCCCTCCAAATTTGGCACTGGAAATCTGATTGCTACTCTGTGGGCACGTCTACACAAGATGCTACACTGCTGTAGTTATGAGCTACGGTGACATAGCTTGTCAGTACAGTGATGTAGCCTCAGCAGGCACAAACCCTGACACTGATGCTACTGTGGGGTAACTGATTGCTACTGCACAATAGGGTCAGAAATTACCTACGTGCTGCCGGGACTGCACAGTAACAACTGCGCAGTCGGGTGCACATGAAGACATGCCCTGTGGGAGGCAAAGCTTTTTGTGGGTAATACCTTTTATTAGACCAGCTGTACAGTTGGGAAGGATACAAGCCTTCAGGTATGAAGTACCCTTCTACAGATCTCTGAGAATTCTCTGAGAGAGATTTTTCAGATCAGTTCTGTAACACCTCATCTGTTGGTCATTACACCTAGACCATACATCCTTAGCCTGCTTATGAGGTCAGTTGCTTCAGCATTAAGAAATTCAAGATCTATCAAACTACTGCTTCCCCTTTATCCACTAGGCCATTATCCTGTCAAAAAGAAAATTAGATTGTCTTGACATGTTCAGTTCTTGACAAAACCTGTGTTGGCTCTTTCTCACTTCATTACTTGATTGTTTAACAATTTATTCCCAAATCTTTCAAAGTTAGATTGATTAGTCTATAATTACTGGTCTCCCTTGTTTTCCTTGCTTAAAGATAAGTTACCATGTTTACCTTTCTCAAGACCTGTGAGACCACTCTTGTCTTTCATGTGCTCTCAAACATGAGTGCTAATGATAAGGAGATTACTTTGACTAGCTCTTTAAACACTCTGGGGTGAATTTCATCAGGACCTTGCACCTAAACTCATCTGTCTTAATATTCTTAACTTGTTCTTTCACACTCTGTCCTGCACTCATAGCTCCTTTGTTAAAAATTAATTTTGTGGAATATATGATCACAAGTTACTTTTTTTTTTGAAAGCTGACGGAAATGCAGGCTTGAATACTTGAGCTTTCCCAGCATCATTTAGCAATAGGCCTAAGTATCCCTTTGGTTACATCTTACTTCTAATATAATTAGATAAGCTTTTCTTATTACTTTTTTATGTATTTGGCCAGTTGAAACTCCTTTTGCACCTCAGCTTTTGTACCACCCCCTCATGATTATCATTAAACATGTGCCCTTGTTTCAATTTTTGTAAAATTCCTGTTTGACTTTCACATCATTGAATGGCTCATGATACATTCTATGTTCCTTATCCCTTTCCCTTCCATCAGGAAAGGAACTGTCAGCGCTTTCACACACATTTACCTCTTATATAATCTTCCCAAATGACCCTGTCTGGCAGTTCCCTGAGTTTGCTGAAGTCTGTTTTTATGAAGTCTATTTTTATGAAGTCAATCATCATACTATTGCTCAAATTTCTTCCTTTCCTTAGGTTAGTGATAAATGCTATCATTTCAAGTCTAGATTCTCAAACAATATCTCCATACTAGTCCCCTCCTGGAAGGTGGCACAGAACTCACTCACCCCTTGACCAGTTCAACTGCAATGAAGTCATTGCCATCACCACTATTGAAGAGGATGAAACCATCAGCCGACGTGGTCTTGAACTGAAAGAAGAGGTGCATGGAAGTGTAGGCCTGCAAGGTGACTAGGCTCAAGTAGCTGCTTTTGGTCTTGAAGGTGACTGGATCAGCAATGATGTTACGGAGGCCAAAACGTGCTTTTAGCTCACAGTAGTCAATGTCACCATTCTTGCACAGATCAATGTAGAGCATCCCGTTAAACATAAGGCTCTGGAGGTGGCCGATGAAGCTGGAGGGGATGACTGAGATGTACCGCTTCTCTGTCATGATTCCTGTCTCAATGTTGTGGAACTCTAAGCGGGTGTGATCTCCCACCATTGTACCTGGATGGCAGAAACAAGAAGATGTAGAACACCTAGTGTCTGAGGGCATCAGAAATTAGCTGCAGAGACCCTGACACTTAACGTTTCCAAATCAGCAATGATATAAAGTAATGATATAGTATCTGCTTACTGTATGACAGCCCATGTATAAAATGAGTTGCTGGGAGAAGTGGGAGTTCAATTCAGTTCCTAACAGATAAGTTTTGAAATGACGAATCCACCAACACTCTTTTAGGCAATCAGAAGAGTGAGGCAGAGGAGTGAGTGGAAAGTGAAATCTCTGTTCCTTCATTGGGATGGGTCCTATTGCTCAGGGTTGTTAACACTTTATGCAACCGACCCTCCTGTAACGTATCCGAGAACCTCATTTGCCCCTTATCTCCCCCCACAGGCACAGGGACCCCATGCAACAAATGCAGGAAAGATGTGCTTGTAGGAGATAGACATACTTAGCTACCACAGGCAGAGGATCTACCATTTCCCTAACAAGAGAGATGGGAACTAGCACATACATGTGGAACTGATTTAAGGAGAGGATGAAAAGGAGGAAAGGTAGAAGAAGGTTGTTAATTAAGATGGGAGCAGGAGTGAGGTTTTCATTTAGCTTTTAGGCACATCCCTTTGATTTTTGAGCTCCCAAAATAGGGTCAGTACTGTAGAGTTTGTCAAGGAGACTAGATCCCTTCCCCTGGGATTTGCAGTCTAATCATCCATCTTTATGCTGAGTACCTCCTGCTTCGTGTGAAGTGCCCACAGCTGCCATTTAAACCAATGAGAAATAAAGGCAATTAGGACCTAACCTGATCAAGCCTGGGGCAGACAAACAATTCAGACACTCTTTGAAATAAATGTGCTGAGTTTCTCAGTGAAACTGTGTTAAAAAAAAAGAAAAGAAAAGAAAAGAATGAGAAATGAGGATGCAGTCATAAAAATGCATTAACATTCTTTCTACCACTCCACACAAGGAAAATGGTCTCTCTCAAAGTTTGATATTTTGTTGTCAGTTGGTTCTGCTCAGCAGCATAGCAGGGGGTAACACACGAGCAGGCAACAGATGAAAAACCTCCATTAACTTCAAACACCAAATTACCACATGGTTTGGACTGCACATCTCTGTGATAATTTTTAATTATGAAGTACAGAAAAATAGCTAATTATATTACATTTATAGTGCATTTAGTTATTTTAATAATTACCCTTAGTAATTACTATAGTATTGAGCCCATATTTATGTACTAAGAGAACATTGTACTTAGAGAACATTATTAAAGTTGTGAAGCCAAAGTTAGAAGCATCAGAAATAAGGTGACCATATGGACAGCCTTTATTCAATCCCTTGGGCATATGGATTGTGATACAGTCTTTAATTACATGGCCACACACTATTTTTTTTCTCCAGGGCTTCTGCCTCATTCAGTGCACAGGATGAACAGTGCTCAATTAATGAGCAGCTATTCAATATTTTGTTTTATCCTCATTGTTCACTGTGGGGCCCCAAAGCCTAATTTACTGCATATTAATCATACAACTGCTCTAAAAGACAGAATTATTAATTTCCTTGCAGCCATTTCTGTAGTGCTCATCGCTATATGAATTTAGTTTATCTTTCCAAACCCCTTGTGAAGGGCAGGGGGATTATCCCCACTTATAGAGGGGGAGTTGAGGAGTTAGGGTCATAAAAGGATACTTTTTTGCATTTTAAGCTTGGGTGCCACATTTGAGACAATGGTGATTGGACAGTGGAAGTGCTCTACACTGCACACAGCTACATACATTCAAAGAACAGTTCCCACTGGACATCTAGGAATGCTCATCATTTCTTTCAGTGGCAACCAGGGCCTCAAGTGGGGCCCTCAGAAAACGTGGAAGATGCAGGTAGTGGTCACCTGTTTCGAGGAACTTGCCCAGCATCACGTAGGAGTCTGCAAGAAGTAGGGATGGACTCCAATTTCTAGGGCAACATCAAATGTCTGTACCACAAGATCTTTCTTTCTCCTTCTGCAATGTCTTATCTCATTCACTATAGACCTCTCAACTTCTTCAGTAAGTGAAGCACAGGTCCTAGGGCCAACGAACTGTTTTGCTATTTAGATTCATAGATTCATAGATGTTTTAGGGTCGGAAGGGACCTCAATAGATCATCGAGTCCGACCCCCTGCATAGGCAGGAAAGAGCGCTGGGTCTAGATGACCCCAGCTACATGCTTATCTAACCTCCTCTTGAAGACCCCCAGGGTAGGGGAGAGCACCACCTCCCTTGGGAGCCCGTTCCAGACCTTGGTCACTCTAACTGTGAAGTTCTTCCTAATGTCCAATCTAAATCTGCTCTCTGCTAGCTTGTGGCCATTATTTCTTGTAACCCCCGGGGGCGCCTTGGTAGCCAAAGCTACCATGGAGCTGAGGATGGCATCTCAAATTAAGGATAACAAAAAATTGTTTTTTAGATATATAGGGAGTAAAAGGAAGGCCCAGGGTGGAATAGGACCCCTACTAAATGAACAGAAGCAATTAGTGACGGACTGGGGGGACAAGGCTGAACTCCTCAACGAGTTCTTTGCCTCAGTGTTCCTAAGCGAGGGGCACGACAAGTCTCTCACTGGGGTTGTAGAGAGGCAGCAGCAAGGCGCCAGACTACCATGCATAGACCCTGAGACGGTGCAGAGTCACTTGGAAGAACTGGATGCCTTTAAGTCGGCAGGCCCGGATGAGCTCCATCTGAGGGTGCTGAAGGCACTGGCCGACGTCATTGCAGAGCCACTGGCGGGGATATTTGAATGCTTGTTCAAATATAATTCAAATATTTGAATTAGCTCTGATTCATCCTGAGAGTAGATTTATCTTGTACACTGAATAAGACATGGGTCTTGGGGAGGAAACAGTACTGAGCACATAATTAAAACTGCATCAGATATGCAAAAAAGGCAACCTTAGTTCTGGCATTTCTTCTTTCTAGCTCTGGCAAGCACTTCTCTGTGTTTCACTCCATAATCCTAAAATAATTTTTAATGTAATTAACATCATTATCATGTTTTAACTTCCTAGTGCTTTTCAAAAAAATCAAACTGAAGAAACAGAGATTGTTTCTCTGTTTTGAATCCATTCCAATGTCATGAAACCAGTACTTATACAAAAGGATAGACTAGCGTAGTCTTTGCGATGTCAACTGTTACAGAACTTTTATGAGATTGGAATTGGAGAATGGAATAACATAATGACACCCCCATAGGTCACTAACAGCATGGGAATCCTAGACCCACTGTACAGACCTGTGTCAAGTGAACTAATCAAAAAAACTGAGTACTCAACGGGAATGAGACACTTTGCCAGTGGGGTTCATAACATTTTCAGACAGGAAAGAATGTGAAACTTGGTAATCTTGGTTTCCATTCCAGGTTTTGAAAGGGAGAGTACTAGGAGGTGAACTCTTCTCTTGATTTTCCACAATTTTAGCTCCCTCAAAACTCTCTCTTCCTCATCCTATAACTGTTTGTCCCAAATACATTCTCCCTATCTACTGCCCTTCCCAGCCTCAGTCTACAGCTGCTTAGGCTTCTCATTCAGTTTCATTTTCCTTGCGCAGGTATCCCTAGTCATCTCCTGAGTCACTGTCAAAGTCTCAAATACCCCAGTTCCCAATCTCTCGTCTTCCAGTCCCAATCTCCTTGCTCATCCAGTTCTAATTTCTCCCCAGGTCCTTGTCCCAATTCCACAATCCTAGTTCCTCATCCAATCTGTCTCAGGCAACCCCGTGGACTCTAAGTCCCACCCAAGCTTGCTCTCTTCATCCCTCATTCAATCTCAGTCTCACGTCCTTGCCTCCTAGTCCCTTCTTGGGTGCTTTACCCAGGTTCTTCATATAACATGTCTCCATTCTTCCTCATTCCTCAATTCATTGTCAGATCTGAGATATGCTCCTCTCTCCAAACCATAGTCTCCTTGCTCACTAAATGTCTCCAGTGGCTTTCAGTCCCCTTGCCCATTATGTCTCAATCCCCTTGTCCTAGCCTGTTTCTTTACCTACAACCATGGCTTTTATCCCCTTTTTATGAGAAACAGGCAGATTTCTGTTTAGCTGCTACCTAGAGGTCATATGATTGCAGGAGAGAAAGGCACCCTGGTCTCAGTTCCAGCATCCAGTCTCACATTGGCCTGGTACAAACAGGAGTAACCATTAAGTTCAGTTTTGTGCCATAACTCTAAGCAAAAGCATGCTCAATAGCTCTACTGAGATGGTGCATTCCCAGTACTGTTATGTGCAGTAGTTCTGAGAAGATGGTGCTTATGAACAGTCTAATTGGCACTAGGGGCTACGAGAGGCATGAGCCCACTCAGGATAGATATAATGTTCAAATCAACAAGCCCAGATATAATGCACCTCAGAATCTTGGATTAAGGTTGCTAGGTAAGAAGGCTCTCTGAACTGCTAATGTTGTTTCTTAGAAAACTGGAAAAAATCCCAAAAGGGTTAAAGAACTGCAACTTTGGCTTTAATTTTTAAAAAGGGTAAAAGAAATGACACAGGGAAGTGCAGACCTGTTATCTTAAGACTAATTCCAGGAAACTGGAAGGTTAACCTAGGACTCTATCAACAAAGAATTTGGATATAAAATAATGAATTCTAGTCAGCATGGGTTCAAGGAAGGTAGGTCTTGTCAAACAAACCTGTGAGGGCTTTTTGGATAGGGTTCCTGTTTTTGACAGGATTACAGATATAAAGGCAACTGTATTGATAATACATTTGGATTTCTCTAAGGTATGTGACTTAGCACCATATGACATTTAGATTAGAAAGCTTCCATTTACAGAGCTAACAAAAGGCATCATAGATCAAGGGTCAGCAACATATGGCCCTTGAGATGGATCTGGGCCTGAGGAGCCATTGGATCAGGGCTACAGGCTGAGATGAACTGGTCTACCTTACTGGGAGGCTTTGCGTGCCTCATCCCCCTCCCCACCCTGGGTGGTAATGGCAGGGGTGATACAAGCTTCATCCATGAAGCTAAGCAACAGGAAGAAGTTGTGACAGCAGCAGCCGAGATAGAAGACACTGGCCTGCCTTGGACTCAAGCCAGGCTATTCCAGCCCACCTGCAAAATCCTGCTGACCAATGTATTAGATGGATTACTAACTGGCTCACTGACCAATATCAGGTGTACTTAATAAGGAGTGGGAGCCATTTCTAGTGGAGCTCCCTAATGATCTGATCCTGGTCCAATACTAATTTTATGATTATAAAAGATGATGTACAGTCTTTGTCAGTCAGGTTTGCAGATAACAGACAGGTTCCTGGTAGAGAATAATCTTAATTATTTCCTTAAAAGGTCTACAGTCCAATAAGATGTGCTTTTAGCATAGTCAAATGTAAGGTATTTTGGAGTGAGAAATGAAAACGGAAGTGATGACATGGAAAAGGTTTCTGGTGTCAGTATGGATAACTGTCTCAATATGAACTCTCATTGCAGTGGTGTAGCAAAAAGGGTTAATATGAGTCTTGGATGTTTAAACAAGAAGAATATCAAGTAGGAGTAGGGAAGTGATATCACTTCTCAACACAACACTGGGGACAATATTCTAGTACATGTCTGACCAGTTCTTGTGTTCATACGTCAAGAGAAGATTTAAAGTAAGACCACAAAAATGAGGAGGGGTTGGAGATTTAGTAGGTGGATAGTTATCAGAGCTAGCTGGGAGTTTTCTAGTGAAACATTTCTCCTTTAGAAAAATGTAGATCCATTGAAACTGCAACTGTTTTTTGGGGGAAAGGGTTAATATTGACAAATATCTTCATTAAAAAGAAAATTTGAAAAAGTTTCAGAACTGTCCAAACATTCCACTTAAACATTTTCAAAAGTAAAAGTTCCAGTTTGGGCTTGCTATGAATTCTCATTTTGAAACTTTAACTAAATTCACACTACAGGTAAATAAACGAAAGAGGTCAAGCACTGAGTGAAATGAGATAGTCTTTCCTATTTTCTCTGGGATCTGACAGAAGTGACATTTGTTGCATGATTGGAAACTGATCTACAGCAGTGCCGTGACATGTGTATGGCTGCAAAGCACTTTAAAAGTGTCCAATTCCATGATAAATTATTCCTCATCTAATGAGGATTCAGATGAAGGTGTTCCAAAGTGGAATGCCTTAGGTAACTTCTGTCAATCCTTGTGCATGAAAGCTCTCTCTTCCACCCCTGATGCTGTCTGCAGGAAGGGAGGGGGGAGAAGGGAGGGGGAGGCAGCTGTGGGCTGGGGTTTTTCTAGCCTAAGCTGAAGAGGGGAAAGGGGGCGGGTGAATTGGAGCCCCCTCCCCCGCTACCTCATGTGTTGTCTCCATTCAGTTTAGGCTGGGCAAGACCTGGCCCACAGCTCTCACCCTCTCCCTTCTCCCTACTCTCTTCCCGTAGACAGCACCAGAGCTGTGGGGGGTGGGCTAGAGGATGCAGGCAGGCTCCTACCTTGGATTGACTCTGAAGTAGAGCTCAATTTCCTGCCCCCCCCACCCAACAGAAAACATCTGTTGGGTTGGGGCCGGGGGGCCACTCTAACTCATGGCACTTTCTGTGAAGTGCCATGAGTTAGAGTAGGGAGCTGCATGTATATCAGTGCCCTCTACGTTCACCCTGCTGGACTAGAGTAATGGGGGGAACCTGTATGACTATAATGCAGAAGGCAGGAAACACATCTGGGGAGGCAATGGACAAAGGAGGCTTTGGGCAAGAAACCCAGGTAGTGAAGAGGGGAGACTGGGAGAAAGCTGGGGAACAGGATAACCAAAACTGATTGTGGGGTCTCGGTGAGCTGAGGAGAATGGGATAAAGAGCCAAAGAAGCTTAAGACATTATGTTAAAAGGATGATAATGCTGCAAGTCAAGCACTCCAAAGTGAAGCGATACCTTTACAATCATAAGCCAGCCACTGTGTTTTTGCAGAACGATATGCTTTCCAATTTCAGGATCACACACCCTTCTTTTTTTTCTCTTACAGAAAACATCCCTCATTCAGTGCACAGGATGTACCATGGCCTGGGGATAAACCATTCTGTAGCACAGAGAAGCCCCATAAGGAAATTAATAATTTCATTTTTAGAGCAAGGCTGTATGGTATTCATTGAATAAGACATGGGGAGAGGGGGATGATTCCAGATACTGAATAGATGTCTACTTCAGTAACTGCCCTCCATCTTGTGTACTGAAGGAGGCAGAGATGCTGTGGACAAAATACTGTCTGCAAACAAGTAATTAAAAGCTGGATCAAGATGGATATGAGCAGGGGCAGATCCAGGGGCAGATCCAAAGGGGGTTACAGGAGCAGCAACCTATACTTCAGGGGTGGCTGCACCCCCAGCTCACAGACTCCTCCACCCCCTCCCAGTGGTGCAGGCAAACCATGCCTCAGGGGATTTTTTTAAGTCAGTAAAGCAGGTGAAAATCCCTTCTTCCTTCCCCTTCATACTCAAAGACATGTCCCTTCTCCTCCTCTTTACCCAGCCCCTGCCTACTACTGCTGATTTCCTTGCTGCCCTGGGGGCTGGGAAGCTCTGGATTGAGACAGGCTGTGCCAAAAACAACAACAGCATAGTGAGAGAGTAGTACCCCGCTCCTTGCCTGGTCCCCCTACCCATCTCTCCCAACAGGAATAGCTCTGGTGCTTCCCTCACCCAGGGACAGTGGGGAAAGCAGCAGGGGCAGCTGGAAGAGAGGGAAGGGGAAAGGAGGGAGCACATGCCATTGAGCATGAATGGAAAGGTGGAGGGAGGGGGATTCACCTGCTTTGGGGACATAAAGTCCCCAGAGGCTTCTGCAGTGTGGTCAAGTCCAAAAAAAAAGTGGGGGGGGGAGAGAACTGCAACCACACCACTGAACCTCCTTTGGATACACTCCTGGATATGAAAAAGGCTAAATTTAGGTTGTACAGATCATTTTAAATTCTGGGTTTTTTATAACTTTTGAGTGCTTGATTTGACAATCACTGCATTTTTAAGAGATTTTGGGATAAACTATAGGGATCCATAGGTACACGCGCTTGATTGTAATGGACAGCGTCTGCATTTGTTACACATAAGCTCAGCTTCAATACTGTTTTCTTTGTGCACCCCTGTTGGTAAAGCTAAGAGTTCCACCTAGTGGCCATTATTGAAAACCTCAGTACAAGATTTGTGGTGTTTGCCAGTGCAGTTTAGCATCATTAATTCATCTGTAGGCTAGAAATCAGAAAGCTCTCTCTCAAGTACAAAAATGCTCTTGTATATTGGAGGACTGATTGAACCTCCACCAGTTCTAGTAAGGAGCAGATGGGTCCTCCTCTCATGTGTCCAGAAATCTTCATCTCTGTTTCTCCTCATAACATAGGATGCATATTTAGCTTTAGTGATTTAGAGTGTAAGTGCACACATGATCAAATAGTTTGGAAGCCACCCACTGAGCCCACCTGTTAGAGATCATTTCATATCCTATTACCTGTCTTTTGGCTTTATGCAAACGTTTTTCTGCCAGACTGGCATTGGAACAAGACCTGGTTGAAGACAGAGCCAACCCATATCCTTCCGGTTCTAAAACCAGGATCCAAAATACCACGTAATGACCCTCTGCCTCTTCTCAGAAGCTCCTCCGAGGTACCACAGAACTGGCACAGATCAATCTAGGCCATGGCTGAGCAACTCCATTTTGGTGAATGAAAGGCTGAGTGTTGCTGACTTTTAAACAGCTGCTTCTGGGATGCTATTGAGAGAACCCCAAATCTTATGACTTTAAGACTAAAAAATGCTTTTGAGTGTTAGTGTTGCCAACACTGTTCTTTTCATGCACACCATCATACAACATGGTTGTGTGGCTGTGAGGAATTAAAAGCAGAGACACACACATACACCCCTCTCCAACAACTTCATCCCCACAATCTGTTCCAGGCTGCTGGAATTATCATGGAAATTGCCACCACTAGTTGAGGAGAAAAGAGCCCCAAAGAACTGCACAGAGCACAGAGACTGAATTGAGAGGAAAGGACAGAGGAGAGGCAGAAGAATGGACAAAAGAGACAAAAAGATGATGTGCCTGTGCTGAAAAGAGCCTGAAAGCAAAAGGAGACGAGACCTGAGTTACCAATAAACTGGACTTACCCTCAGCAACATCATCATCCACCATCAACTTGAGGCTTTTTCCTCGTCGCACCACCCGGACTGTGTGCCACTCATTGTCATTGAGTTTTTGCCCAGCATAGAGAGTTTCAGGTCCTTTGCCTGGGGATGGTGATAAGTACAAGAGTTAAAGACAGACCTTACTATATTGAAGTGCCTGCCTGATTGGGAGAGTCCACAAAATCATCCTGGTGTGATACAGTCCCTTGTTTATCAGCCATGAGGGAGGGACTGCTACTCCCCAGTTCTATCCCTTTCTCGCCCAAACAGAATGGACTTCATTACCCACTCATTGCAAGAAGCATTTTTCTTTTGGGGCCCAGAGGGCACTTTATCAAAAGGTGGATGCAGGGTTACACATCTTTCCTGCATCCCTAGAACTTGCCATTGTTGGTCTAACATTGTAGTGTATCACACTGAAAGAGACATATTGATATTGTGAATAGCTATGGCGTGAAACCAGCATCAAGCTGGAATTCTGTAAGCACTTCAATTTAGAACATTCACATCATTCCACTGGATATTAGAGTTTCTTTCAAACTGGTTCAGCTGGGTTTCCCAATGCTTATAAGGTATCATACACCAGGCTGGTTTCAGTTCACAGGTCTCCAACCAAGACAAAGCACTCACCAATTACTAGAGAACCTTAAGGCAGTGAGCCTGGCTACAAATACCCACAGCATTTTTATTCCCCTGAATCAGCACTTTCCATCCAGGGAGGATCCCCCATAAAGAAAGAATAAGCACAACTCTCCTTACAAACAATGCTCCTGGAGGGAAAACAAGGCAAACAGCCACCCCTAAGTGTTCAGTTTCCCCCCACTTATTGTATCTGGCAGTCAACCTACTGAAATGTTAATTGCTTTTCAATCCAAAATCTTGTTCCTGTCAATTGCTGAGTAACGAATTAAAGAGCAGTTTGTGCTATGTTAAGTGTATTTGCTATTTGCAGGTTAATCTTGACGTTATTTGATAGAGTTGTAGAGACAAACTCAGGAGTAAAATAGAAAAGGATGAAGCAAATTGGAATTTGGGACACTGATGAACTGTGGGAAAAGAAAGGGAAGTCCAGAATGGAGTTAGGGACAACCCAGCAGAAGCTGCTTCTTGTCAAGACCCTCTGTGCATCAGTGAAGCTGGGTGTGGATAGGCAGATCATTTGTGCATTTGTATTAAGTCCCAGAAAGACATATCCATTGTTTTCAGAAACACAATATAAATGAAGCAGTGAAAACTAAAACAGGAGACTGGCCTAAAAAAATTAATTAAGAGTACAGCAGCATATAGGATCTTATGGAGGGCTTCATGGGAGTGATGCAGTGCTCCAGCCAGACTCACCCATAAGTGTCTTGATACAGAGTGCCTGGAAAGGCATCCCCAATACCCGCATCCCCACAAGTAGGACACATTGCATGAGGAGATATAAAGAAAGGTGATGTTCTGCAGGAAAGGGATAAAACCTATCCAAGAAGCATGCAAGATCTTCAGGATGTAGGCAGTCTTCATTTGCAACTTCAGCCTATCTAGCATTTCCCAATAGCTAGCTAAGATGGAGTACAAAGTCTCCTTAACACAGTCCCTGGTTTAGGACTCAATATATAAAGCAAGAAAATCCCATGGGTGGAGATTAAGCTGTGTTACCTTTGCTGCTGCCACCTTCTCAAAGATGCAAAAAATGTGCTACCTTGGAGTTCATGCTAGTGTAAAAAGGGAGCTTATTCCCTTTCAGAATCAAGTACCTACTGTCACCTCAAATGAAAGAAAAATCAGGGCTGTGGAATGAAAAGGGTAATCTTTTTCCATGGTTTAAAACCAGGGAATGATTCTCAAGAAAGGAAATGTTTGGTTAACAGTATGCAGATGATTTGTCTTTGATCAGGGTCACTTCCCTGTATCTCAACAAGTCCCAACTTGTGGCTGTATCATTCCTGAGTGACAGTTGAGCCTACAGTATAAAGGCAATGCAGACAGCCAGGTTACAAGCAAAGGGCCCAAACTGTGCTCTGTTTTAAACTAGTGTAAATCTATGAGCATTCAGTGGAGTTGTGCTAGATTCCCATCAATTGGAGGGAGTGGGGGGCACACAATATGTTCTATAATGTGTATTATGAAACGATGCGTTTGGCTGGTCAGAAAAGGGATTCTGCATGTGTCACTATACCAGATTCACCTGTTCCAATGGCTGCCTGGGGATATTACTACAGTTAAGATATATCTGTGGCCACGGATATTGTTTTTAATGGTATCCATTAAACATTGTACACAAGCTATGAATTTCTATGTTGGAAGTAGAAGACAAAAGTTTTTGAAAGGCATAGCAGTAAGTTTGAAGCTATCTAATACGCACCTTTTATCACATTACATAATCTATGTTCCAGGTTTTTATCGCTGTTTATTACTGTCTTTGCAGATGCTATGCTATCTGTTGTATGTATACACAAGGGTGTTTCAGAAAGTAACAGCAATTTCAAAATAAAACCATTTTATCTGCAATAAGTAGGAAGCTACATAGTAGGAGGGAGCACTGATGGTGGCATTGTCCAATGCACCCATCATTTACAATTATGTAGAAAACCAGTGTGGTCCAAGAAATGATCACCACGCACAGGATGGTTTTATTTTGAAATTACTGTTACTTCCTGAAACACCCTTATATAGGTATAAGGGCTGAACTGATCTTAGTCAACATAAATAGTCAAGTTGTTGTTTCAGTCAGAGCTGCACTCCTATAAAAAAAGTACAGCACCTTCTTAATCCACACATCTGCTCCCAAAATAGCTTCGGGAGTCAAAGCTGCCAGCTTTATTGGGACAAGGAAGCTTCACTCTTATTTGCCATACAAAGATGGCAAAGCCAATAATAATCCATTTGGGTTCTATTCTGCCTCATGCTGCCTGTTCTGCCTATTGCCTTAAGCTGTCATCTTGCTTAAAATTGCAGCATCTTTAAAACAACTGGTGATATAAAGAAGCAGAAACACCCTAGCTGGCTTTTTCAATCAGGCTGGTTGAATTAACTGCAAATAAATGATCTGACAAATCAAAGCCTTTCTTCTGTCCCTGAACAGCTCCTAATTTATACTAATAGGTTTGTTATTTATAAGTAATCATCAAATTGTCTGGGCCAACAATTTTCAACCTAAATCTTGTTTGTATGTCACTTACTTTGACTGGTCATGCTCTGTGCTTGATCAATTTAGTGCTGCATCATTAGATGATTAAAAAAAGACCCAGAAAAATAATTAACAATGTTGTTCATTCATAAACCACCTGGTTTGCATATGGTTGTGGCTTTCCCTTAATAAGAGTACCTTAAGCCAATATCCCTTCACAGGGAAACCCATTGCATGAAACAGTCAAGAATTTAAAAAACAAGCTTAATTAAACCAGGTATTTGAAATGCAAATGCATGATTAACAAATCCTGGCTTAGGTTTATTCAAACCAGCCCTAATTTCAGAACCCTAGCTAAAGCCAGTTGGTAGATTGACTTGCAAATGAGAAAAAAAAATGTAGACCCCTATTTTAAAACTGACAATAAATGAAGGCATTATGGCACTCATTTGGAGCCTCGCTGACTTCAGCGTGGCTCTGTCCAACTATATGGATCACCTGCTACACTATCAAGTACAGAATCTGGACCTTAAGCTTAATATTTATTCTAAGTGTGTGTGCTGTTGACAGAGAAACTTCACTTTTAATTGCACTTAAAAGGGGACTTTCAAGGGGACATAGAAGCCTGTTATTTAGATGCTTCTGAAAGTTTTACCCATATTCATTCATGTAGAAAGGAGCAATTTTTCTTAAGGAGTTGACTATAATTCACTCCCCACCTGATATTCCATTCCTGTCTCAGTGACATCACAAATTATTGTGAGGCCAACAGTTTTGATCTCATATAAAAGAGCAGGACAAAAAAAACAAAGCACATGGACTGGGGGGGGGGGGAACCCCCCAAACAATGCACTTCATCTCCCTATGCAACAAAAGCTGGCAATAAAAGAGAAGAAAAAGTAAGTAAACAGCAGCTAGGGAAGTTGAACTGCTGGAAACATTTTCTATTTATGTTTTGATGAGATGGCAGCTGGTCATTAGGCACTTTTTGCACATTACTTAATTTTTATGAGCAAGGACAAATAAGAGACAGAATGCTTAGCATCTAACAGGAAAAGGGCTATGTGAAGATTTGCATTAGTGAGAAATTAACCACTAAAAGGTTGGAATTTCATTGCCTTTAGGGCAAAATACAGTACTCCATCTCTGGTGCCTCTTGGTCCTTTGATGCATCTTCCTAACTTCTTCTAGGAATTATGACATTGTAGAACCATGAAGATCCAGGGGACAGGTGGTCTCCAGCTCTCCTCTTTAAACCTGAATGAAGCATCTTGTGGAAATTTCTTTCATACTCAGGGCAGGGCCAGCTGGCAATCAATCCTCAGTCCAGAGCAAATTCTTCTCACAGGGCTTAGAATCTGCTAATTCATAAATTCAAAGCAAGTTGGGGTATGGGGCCAATGCCTACTTAATGATGACTGCTACCTTGGTCAGTCCTTCCAACTCAGGTTTAATTGGGTTTAATTTAAACAACTGCAAAAGTAATGCCCCTAATGTACATCCCCCATCTTTTTAGAAATGAGAAGATTTCCATCAGACCTGCTCAGGAATCTCCCATATTTCTACATAAGTGGGATCCTATGGCCAATTAAGAAGGAGAGCCCTAGAAGTTAGGTGTGAAAGTCCCCAAAAGAGCCACACTAGACCAACAGAAAGAACAAACAAAGTAACTCAATGGCATACCCTCAGTCTTATCCATCAAACTGATTAATAGTCCAGAGACATGTATCCAGGCAGGAAAAAAGAAACAGAATCAAAGGGGAATTAAGAGTACAGCTCATCATAGACCAATCCATTTATATGGCTGATTAAAATAGCCTCCACAAAGCCAAAATCTGCCTTTCTTTTCTGGAAGAGGAAAAGGTCCAACACCAGCTAAGGTTCCTGGATCTCAGAAAAGACATCACAAAACAACAGGGATAGACTGATATGACTGAAGAAGGCTCCCTGTCACTGCAGAAATAAAGATATAGATTTGCTGTGTATTGAT